GTCTGGAGCAAGCAGATGCCTGGGAAATCTGATATAAATGTGTCTGTTCAAGTAAACTTGTTTACATTTCTTTATATCAATATTTGAATTTAAAAAATATACTCCATATTTCCTACCTCCATTGATTTCAGCTTTCAATATACCATTGCAAAAATGTACTAGTAATCTTGCATATATGTGCAAGAGTTGTTGCATTCCTTTATAAAGTCTATTTGACAACTTAAAAAAGTTCCCTATCAAGTTCGTTACCTTCACCAGAGTACTAAGTGATGCTTCTTGATAATTTTCCCTGAAAAATCAGTATTGATTGAAGTATTTTGCAACTCTTAATTGACGAGCTGCATGTGACAAGCTACCTCCGTTTCAGTTTTTGAGTTAACTCATTGGAAAACTGATTTTTATAGTTTATTAATATAAAATTGTTGTAGAAGTATATAACTACTTCTAGCACAGCAATATTAATATTGCTACTCAAATGCTCAACTGGTTAAAAAGTCTTTTAGCACTGTTTGCTTTTCTCTTGCCAAGAACGCTCTGGGTTGCAATGTTTTTTTGTCTATTTTAGCAGCCTATCAGTCTCTCAAGAATATATTACTGACTTGCACTAAATTAATTATAAAATATATCCTTTTTGGTTCCCCTAATAAGATTTTTGCTATTTGGATATTTTAAACAGGTCTTGATACCAAATATTTTGTAGAAGAACTTGCTTCTTTTGAAAGCAGAGTGCTGAGCAAGAAGGTGCTGTAGCAAAAGGTAAGCAGTGACAAGCACACTTGGGAAATCTATTATTGGCTCTGGCTTACAGAAACAAAACAAAAACATTAATCTAATTTGTTTTCAAATGGTCATGCTGCATGATTCCTGCAGTAAAGGGAGTATAGGACTGGAACTGCAATTTAATTAAAATTTAAATGAAACAGAAGACAGAAACTATGCTCTTTATTTTTAGTCTCATATGCTTTGTTTATGTAGATGGAGTCCTGCAGAACCACGCTAGCAGCAGCATGTTCATACAACAAAAATGTGACGTAGCTGAGGGAAACCCTTTGCCACTAAGCACAAAAAGCTGAGCAAGTGAAATCTTCTAGGACACAAACGTAATTCCCTCTCAGGGTGAAAAAAAAGCAGTTTGGGAGATACTACTGTCCTCTTTTGTTATTGCTTATACTGAGATTTCAAATAATATTTTTGCCCTGGCATTTGAACGATAGTGTGCAATCATTAGTGCTTATCGCTCACTTTCCATACTTTCCCTCTTCCCAAGAATCTTAGTGCTGTGATCCGTTTGCCTTTTCATACTGCATTTTGTTTTTAATACCCTTCCATATTTAATAGCATTTCAGTACCTAGGCATTTTGAATGTCTGAAGTCAAGCAAGGAAAGCATATGGGTGATTCATTATACCTGGTATATTATCTGCAGAATCCTTTCTAGGCTGGACAAGGGAGATGCTGAAGACTGACTGTATGGATAAGTACTTCCAGTTCCCTCTGGCACTACTCAATTATCCTCCTACGGTACTATTTCTTTCATTTCCCCTTTCCAATGTTTTACTCCCACCTAAACATCATCTTTTGGGTTGTTTTGTTTACCAGAGAATGAGAAATGTTTTATCTTCTCCTAAATTAAAAATTATAAAGGAATCAATTGCAGAAAGTGACTCATCATGATTGCCTATGTTTCAGCTCTGCTGAGAAGAACTTTTCCTTATATTCACATACATAAAATGATATCTTCAGAAAATCTTCATGAAAGGTATTTTGAAAGATTTCATAGAATCAAGGACAGTATGACTATAAACAAGTGTATTTGAATGCTAACAGATTATTTCTTTGTAAGGAACTATCCAATATTCCTAGGCATTCATTTCTATCATCAATCCACTAGTAGATAGTGCAAAAAAAGAATGTGTAAAGAAGACATAAAAACTGTATCATTATGAAACCTGAATTCAATTTTACACAAAGTTCTTTATTAAAGAGATTATGATCAAGTGTGTCACTCATCTAAGCTACTGTCATACGCCTCGCTATTGTAGCAAACATTTTGAGCTGGCAGAATCACAAATGTTATTTGCTATTCATGCCGTATTGTCCTTTGTGCTGTAAAGGACCTGACCATACAGTCTTCCATCGGGCTTGATTTGGATACATGCATCACTTAGAAGTGATCAACAATTATGGTGAAAAAGAAGATGTAAATTCTAAGTTTTTTTACGATTTTTTTATTATTCTATACGAACAGAATAAGAGGATTAGTAATTGTGCAAGAAGACACCAGAAAGGGAAGAAGAAAAGAAAAAAATAGGACATATCAGAAAAGTAAAAAAAAATTACATAAAGTCACTGAAGTTAATAACCTACAAAATATCTAGCCCTTAACTGGATAAAAATAGAAATTAAAATTAATTTCTAATTAATTTTAATCTTTTAAAATTAAAAATTAATGTTCATTATTATTAATAATGAATTATTTAAAATTAATTGCTATTTATTAAAATAAAGATAGATTGATTAATAAAAATAGAAAAGTATTTTATGTATAAACAAGTATATATATAATAAATATACATATATAGAAATATATAAAATTGTAATATGATATAGACATTATTAAAAGTTTTTCTAATCTCGAGACTAAGCCTAACTGACCCACTATATCATCTCAGAAGAATTTGCTGTGATCTGTAAAAAACAGAGAGCCAAGATACCGACGCTATCATTTTCAGGGAGGATGTGCACCATCAAGTGGAGCTAGCCTTTCTGAAAGGACAAGAAGAACTGAGTATTACACAAATGAAGGAAATAAGACCTCTGGGAAAAAAAAAAAAAAGTGAAGACCTTTCTTGTGGTTAGCTGAACTATTTATGTGGACCTGACAATGTCTTGCTTATCTATCTATATTGCAGGAATGGTCGTGATGTTTTGCACCCAATATTTGCAGGAGAGCAGCATGACCATCACAACCATCATCTATGCTCTATGGGCTAGTTTTATCATATCTGATAGCACTAGCAGACAGCAGAGTTCTCTACTTATCCTGGTGTCTATAATCCATTAATCTAGGGTTGATTCTACTGTGTCCATATTTCTGTCCTCACTAAACATTTCAGAATTTGCCAGACATATTGAGAGTAAAAAAAAAAAAAAAATGTATCTTGTCAATCATTTGAACGAGGGCATTCTATTATCTTTTACAGGTATTTTAAAGATTCTTATCACTGTGATACCCACAGGCCAAGAAAACTGCCTTCAAAAGTTTTATAGGAGTTCAAAGCATATGCGCATTTGTGTATGCACCTCCAAAGCTCATGAGTAAAGAAAGATAAAGGCAAAAAAAGCTTTCATTCTCAGTCACAATTTCAATCTCAGTGTTCCTTGTCATTCTCGATCTATGGACAAAATAAGATATAAATCCAAATTTCAATGTACAAACGCCCTTAAAGGGAGATTTATGCAACCTTATGAGATTACTGCTAAAGACCACTCTATGGAGGTAGAGGTCTTAGGAAGGGGTTGGCTGGTTGATCGAAGAGAAGCACATATTAAGGGATTATGTTAACTCAGTTAAACTGAACAAAATCATATGTAGGTTGGGAGATATAAGTAGGTAAGTATCACTTCAGATGGCACGGAGTATCCCACCAGCCTCCACATGCTCCTCCAGAACGTTGTGGGTCTTCTACAGGTCTTACGTCATACTGGACATCCCTAGGGAGGGAGTGTTATGGGCCTTTAAGTCAGCCCTGTTCAGGAAATGTAAATGCCCTTGTGAGGGCAATCTGAGACACACTCTGGGCTTCATCACTTGCACTGACTAGATCTCAGTTGCTATTATCATAACACCTATCTCACAAGTAAACACTTTCACCTACAGATCTTAGCTTTGGTGTCTCAGTGAGATGAAATCTTTTGCCCTCTCCAGATATACCTAGACATTTGACTTCACCATATTCAAATAGAGAATATTTTCTCTATTTCTCATACTCCTACTCCTACTGTGTTGCCCTGAGGAAGATAATATTTTCATAAATTTGCTTGCATAATTCAGGCTTTGGAAAATGACATGTGACAAAGAGCCTCAAGTACCATTCACATATATTCAATAAGGAGGCACTAAAGTCGAGTTTTGTCTAGAGTTTGCCTTACTTGGATGGGCTGCTGGATGCCAAATAAATTCTCAGAAAATATTTGATTCATTTGGGCCATTTGTTTCCAAATAAGTCTAAATTCCAAGTAATATGAAACTATTAGTTTGAATATGGGATTGTAACTAGAAGATATTTAGGAGCAAACACCCAAGCTGATGATGCAATTGAAAAATAAACCATTCCAACATTTTTTAGAACAATTTAAATTTAAGATTTGTTGTTCTTACGTATGTCTGCAGCTGAGACGTGTTTTGTGTGTACCTAAAAATGTTTTTCACCTTGCCATCTTTCACTTTATCCCTATTTTGATTTGTTAAGTTATACCATTGAGAACACCGTTTTAGTCTTGGAGAGAGCACAGAGACTAATTTCAGAAATTTGGATAAAAATTGTAAGGACATACCAGATGTAGTTTGAAATGAGTATTTCTTCTACTTACCTGAATTCACTAGAAAGTTAAAACTGTTCCTAGCTAAGTGCAAGTTGTATGTGTTTTATGCACATGCACCCTGAAACATTCTGCGGTGCAAAAAAATACATGGTAAATTATTTTTATTTACTGCTCATTTATTTATATGACATTAACTTTCACAGATCCTAAAATTTAGCTGTGTAAAGAGCACCAATCACAGGCATTGACTGTGTAAGAAGGAAACATCTCTCCGAACTTGCTTCACCAAGCCCTTTTTGCATATTCAGATCGTCAGGAGGTATCCTACTTGCTTAAGGATGGCATTTCCTGAAAATTTGGAAGATGTCACCTCAGAAGGAGCACAAAATAGCTCTATTGCCCAATGCCCCCCACCTTCGCACCACTAACCAGTTTCTAGCACCATTTTTACTGTACCTCTGTGTGAGAGCTTCTCTAGGATGATCCTTAAGCGCTGAAGAACAAGGGGTGAAATGTCGTATTTATATATGTCTCTTACTGGCACCCGCTGACATCTCCCAAATATCCCATCTGCAGAAGAGAGAAAAGGCAAAACACACATTTCATTTTCTGAGAGGAACAAACATATGATGAGATGCGCATTTGAAATGTATCCTAATTATTTACTACGGGAACCTTTTAAAACACACTCTAAAAAGTTATCAAAGGCCTACTGAAGTCAGGAGGCAGGCTATTTTCTATCAAAATGAATACTGGAGGAATATTAGTTGGGAGAAGATCCTATTGTAAAAGTTATGAGCCAAGTTTATTTTATAAAGTAATTTCAGACTTCTGGCTTTGAGCCTTTTGATGTAAGCCGCCTTTGCTGACAATTCCGCAAGAAAAGAAATTAATGTTCAGAGCTGACTATGTTGCAGATGAAAAGCCCAGCATCCAGAAATATAAATATTAATTTGCAGAAACTATGAGGATTTGCTGAAATATTTGTAATGCAGGCGCTGCGTGCCAGGCATTGGTAAGAGCGGGGAATGGCGAGCGAGGGCTCCTTTCGAGCGGCACCCGCTAATGAAGGCAATAAAGGAGAGCTGCTTGCCGAACAATGCGATATTAATGTGCCCTAATTTATTTAGCTCCCTTCCATTTGTCTAAAATGACAGACTCTTCTCATCAACATCTTTTCAAATCACACCTTCTAATTAATTTAGCTTATTAGTCTTTATTTAGAGAATTGTTCATTTTGAGACAAGCTTCCTGTGCGTGTGTGGATGGAATGGGGAGTTCAAACATTCAAATTACCTTTCTCTCTTTCATACAAAGGGCTAATTCAGAGCCTAGGTGCTTCATGTTCAATCTGACCATCTGCAGTGCTGGGCCTCTGGGAAAGCAAGTGGCTTCATTTTTTTGTTCCAAACAGTTCTGCTCTATACAGTGATCCAAAGGAAGCAATTTAAATGCAACAAGTTTAATTAGCAAAATATTCTACTATGGTACTGGTTTTAACATAGTAATTACTCCTGCTCTGATATTACCTCTGTGCTTAAAAAGGAGAGTTACATCAGATTAGCAGTAAAGCAAAAAAAAGCCAAAAAAACATTAAGTATTAATTTGCAAATGTCCATTACTTTCTGAGCTACTTCACAGAGCTGAAAGACTGCAAATGGAAACTGCTGGCCCAGCTGTTCACCAAATGCAAATAATGGCATAAAAGAAAATAAACCAATGCAGGATGCCGGGAGAAAAAAAAAAAAGGCATTATTAGGCTTCACTGTTAATACAAATACTCCATTGAAATTAGCCAACTTTTGTTTCCTGTGCCTTTCCAGCCCTCCTGCCACTTGGGGAACTATCAAATTAAGTTAATCCAAATTAAAAATTTACCTTTACGTCTAAATTTGGAATGGAGCAGAAACTATTTTTAATTTTGAAATCATATGAAGAGATCTGGGTTTGTGATTTTGCCTTAGAATGTATAAAGCAGTTTTCCAGCAGATTAAAACATTCTGGCTAGAATATTCATCTCTATTTAAAAACCTGTTGCAGTTGGAAATAAGCAAAGCATTTAAATACCAGTCTTCTGTCAATGGATGGAGAACAGGAATAAATAATGTCCTGGTTTTAGAAAGGAACAGAAGAACATTTTAGTGCTTCATAATAGAGCCGTTCAAAATGAATCTAGACTTGAACTAACTGGCTCTATTTTGAAATACAATCATTACCACCTATGTATAATTAGGACAGACTCTATTTTTATACAGATAATTAATAGTCCATGATTTTTTAAAATAATGTATCTTGAAGATAATTCTTATTTTATTTTAGAGTCCAGAAAAAATTCATACTGAATCTTAAACTTTTTCACATTGCTTCAAATATCTTTTAAGGACATCTCAGTGGACATACAAACTTATTTCACCCACAAACACTAAAACAGCCCTATCTCCCTTTTTCTACAAGGGCAACCTTTAGCATCCTGCCTATGGACACAGGAAAAACTCTTTAAATTCCAAAACTGGTGCTTAACATGTGAATGCGAGCTGAGGTACACAACCTACCTGAAAAAACAGGGATTGCTTAGGGAGAAACTGCACATTATTTTCGCTTTGACACTTGAAATACAGGCTGAGACCCTTTGCAAGAGGTGCAGTCACAAACAGCATTTCTGCTCGAAGAGGTGGGAGCGATCTGGGAAGGAGCCCCAGGAGCTGCTGGTAAAGAGCAGTTCAAGACTACAGAGGGTCTTTATAGGAGAGCTGTTCAAATAGTAGATTTCTTAGTTCAGTTCATTTATATATGTATGCATATTTTATATATATATATAAAAATAAGAATTCTTTTTTTGTTTGGGATTTTTGTCAGGGTTTCTATGCAAGAGTAAAAACTTAAAACAAAGATGATTTCAGGTTGACTCAAGCATTTAATTTTCAGGTTACTTTTTAATTAAACTTTTTTAAAATTAGGTAATTTGGACCAAAAAAAAAAAAAAAAAAAAAAAAGGCGGGAGAGGGGATCCATTTTGCCACAAAATGTTTTTAAAATTCCCCCTTTTCTCAAAAAAACAGTGTTTAAAATCTGCCTGGCTTGGTCTATGATGCCCAGGTAAAAGCTCTGTGCCTTTTCTGGGTGTCTATATGAGAGGTCCCATTGCAGAGCACCGTGGCATGAGTGCTGGGTGCACTGGTGGCAGATCACCCCAAAGAGCATCCCCCTGCCCTGTGACACCTCCTGCGAGCAGATCAGGGCACATTACCCATCAGGAGTTAGTCAGAGTTAGAACATAGCTATATTTTACAGAAAGCATCATATGGTGGAGGAAGCTCAATGCAAGAACGATGGTGTAATATGAGCTACCAAAGGGAGGGCACTGCAGCCTCATAGCTGCGCAGGGCTGCTCCTGCTGCACCCTAATTAAAATCATATTCTGAGGAGGGATGTGCCATCCCAAAGACATCTGCTCTTTACACACCTCCAAAATGAAGGAAGGTCGAGACAACCGATCAATATACACATCTGGTTGCTGTTAAAGGGTATCACTTTCTTCGTTACCACATAGTATCAGAGATTTCCACAGCAAAATCTTATAAATTATACTTAGACCTGGAAACATCTGTGTTAACAGAATAGTAATGTTGACTTTTAGATGACTTCTATGCTTGCTTCCAAAGGAGAGACTAAACCAGAAAAATAATATACCCAAAGAGAAGGTAAGACAATCTTGGCTAATGTATTTAGTGCTTGAGAAGGATTCAAATTCTTAAGAGCCACTGTTTAAGATTGAATTTTGACAAATATGTATTAGCAAGTTAGACGCTAAGATTAAAAAAACATATTCAAGCTAATCCAGGTGTCCAGCAAGATCTCTAATAATGGCAGATGAACTTCTTTTATTAGCCATGACACCCTGGGGCAAGCTGTGCCTATTTACACTGTGTATTTATCAATTCCTATTAAAAAAAATACAGCTGCTGTATTAACCAGTGAGCAAACCAAAAGAGAAGTTCTGGAAGGAGTATTTTTGAGGCAGGGTCAGAAGAAAGTGGAAAATTCCCATTTTAATTTATTATTATTAGCCTGTTTGTGATGAATGGGTGGATATTTATGACATAATTACCTACTGAGGAAAGAAACACAAAGTTGCATTCACAACTAATGTATAGATATTGAATTTCTCAAAGGAACAGCCAGAAAAATAGCCTGAAATAGAGTTCTGAAAAGCTTATTGTGTCAACATGTTTCAGTCACAATAAGCAAAACAGCCATCACATGTTTTACTAAAGATACTAAAAAACCTTTGGAAATATATGCCTTGAAGGCAAGACTATTTGTGCAGAGCTGATTCATTCAATTAATTTTAAATAGGATCTCCTAAAAAACAAACAAAAACAGGGTACAATAGACCTTTCTTGGATAGACAGAGGCAAAAAAGTTTGGCTTGTCTTCTGTGAATTAGAGTTAGATGTGGCAGGTTTGAGTCATAGTAGCAAAAGAAGATCAAGGTCTTGTTGGGTGTGTTTTGTTACTGGGCAAAGCTGTGAGCACAAGTGGAAGCACTGGAGCTTGTCTGCAAACCAACCACAGCCTCATAGATGGGAATTAAAAGATTGCATTTTGCATAACTATTTAGATCTACATACAGTAGAAGTTGCATATGGTGCTGACAAGTGACCTTTGTTGAAAGCAAAGGCTTTCAAGTGCCCATTTCTTCAGCTTTTCAACCATCACGTAGCTGTCTACAAGGAGTCATCTGGCAGACCGTGGCAGTACTTGCATGCATAGGTTGACCAGCATTGGGCTTTCTTGGTCCTAATTCTCTGACAACTGTTAAAAAAATGTAGAGTGGAGCTTTGCATAAGATGCAAAGGTCTGCCTCATACTGTAGATATTGTGATTTGCTCCTGTGGCACAACACAAACATGAAAATCCACAGAGCCACCAACATGTTGAATTGGGCCTGTTGTCACCATTGACCATCACTGCTCCTGCAGTTGATCAGAGAACTTGTTCTCATGCCCTGCCAGTTTCAAATAAACATCATTTCTCTGTAAATTAACCTTCTGCAAAAAAAAAAAAAAAAGGGCTGTTTGTTCTCACTGAATATAGACTTTGTTCTCTTTGCCCCAGCTTATTGTTTTGAGGTGTCGTAAGGTCCAAGAGTTGTCCAGTACTAATAGGGAGACCAAGACTCAATGCCTTATGATCCAGGTGGGAACCTAACATGCCTGCTGCAAAGATTAAATCATTTTGCAGTGGGAAGTCTAACATCTGCATCCCGAAAGCCTCACGATGATGGACTTTAAGGTCAGAGATGTTAAATGTTTTAGGAAATAAGCAGGAGATTGTTAACATCTGTTACTTTTTCCTCCCTGCTTTTTCTCTCTGATAATGTGTTCATTTACAAAATACTCTTGTTAAAAGGCACCTATTGCAGTTTCGAGCACACTAAGTTGTGTGCTGGAATTCCCTTATATCAGAAGGCTTAGTCCACAAAGCTGCATTCAACATTTGCAACTAGATGGTTTTCAGCAAAAAAAAAAACCCTCATATTTTTTCACATGGAATTGATTAAAAAATCT